TCCCCGTCAAGGACAGAAGTTGTGACTGGAACTCAAGACACGATTTTAGTTTCTGACACTGCTACCGGGGTAACTGGTACCTCCTACATTTATTTCAAACCAACATTAAACCTTCAAAGTTCTGTATTATGGAAAGAGACTTTGTCTGAGCAAAAAAGAACTACTTCAATTTCCAATACGGACACCATCATTAGCGAAAAATTGGTTTCTGGTAATACCAACACTGCTGTTCAAGCTACAGAGACCGTTTCATCAATTTACACATCGCCCCTTGGGATTTCCCAAACGTTATTAGCATATAGCGTTGCAATAACGAGCCCACCACGTGCAACGAAAGATTCAACGACCAGTAAGTCCACAACATTAATAGCAAACACGTCGTACATGACCATTAGCACTCGGCCTGATAGTCACGTGACAGAGGCGACTATCAAGACAATTACCCCTAGTCAACCATTCACAGGATCAGTGGCAAGTTCTGTCATTAAAGGTATGGAGAAGACTTCACGAGGTAGGATTTTAAAAGCCGGTACAGACTTTGTCTGAGCTAGGTTTCGGATGTTGCAAAGTTGAAGTTTCCTGTAGTGAATATTCACCGCTGTTTTCGGAATTCGGGCTTAATGTTGTCATTTTAGTGCTCTTGATGCTAGATTAGAATTGGCATTTAGCAAAAGCTAATTAAAATCAAAGCAACTCGAATATATTATGGAAAATCAGAAACGATTGAACTGATCAACTGGCAAAATGATTGTCATTACTTCGACAATTTAATAAACCTCTTCTCGCTTTTCAGCCAAACAGGATTGAGGATCTCAAGCAAGACTTAATTTACGACTTTAAGACTACATTTAATATATACGTTTGGTAATTTGATCACTAAATGTTATAATCCATAATCACACATTTTACTAACGAATTCAATTTATTAGGAAATGAAAGGCCTACCAGCTGGACCCAATGGAGTGATTGGTCTTCGTGTTCAAGACCATGCGGCGCTGGAGAGCAAACACGAACTCGACTCTGCAATAAAACGGGAATAGAAGATTGTATTGGCGATAGCACAATGACCAGACAGTGCAATGTTAATTTTTGCAAAGGTGATTTAGAGTAGCGTGTGAAGATGTCTGAATCCTGTGGTTTTTGTTTACCTTAGCTAGATTAAAAAACAAAAAACAAAAAAAAGCAAATTAAAATCGTTCCATAAATGGTCCTATGCAGAACGAAATGATGGCAGAATATCGGAAACAGTGGGTCATATAAAGCTATTCGGAAAGAAGAAATCTCTCAGTGGAACATAAGTCTGACACACAGACACTAAGCCCTGAGAATCGTCTGATTGGAGATCAGCCAAACCTGTTCAAAAGCGACAACCGTAAAGTATTTTGCTAGTAACATTTTAAATTTCATGATGGAAGAGAAATGAGTTCGGCTTCCTTTCAAGGCCTCCTCCACAATACGCCGGAGGAATTTAAAAACGCAGCTTCATTTTTACGGTTAGGCTTACCGTCCACACTAATCCGTCGCGAAGATGGAGCTTTTCGAAAACGCTCTTCAAACGGGAGGAATTTGAAAACGCCGGCTTTCAGATTTAGTGTGCACGGAAAACATCTTGAAAATGGAGCTTTTCGAAAAGATGACATCACGATTACAATGTGATTTCACTGCCGATTTTTTCTCAACTACGTATGCAAAATGTGGCGTGGTGTGAACGGAAAACAGTGATTTAATGCATATCATTTCAGAGTGAAACCTCCGTTTTCAAATTTCTCTGCGTAGTGTGGACGGGACCGAAGAACTTGACTTTTTTGCTAGCACCTTGAGTCACTGGCTGATTAATATCTATTCTATAGGTCTGAATTAATTTTCCACCCAGGTAAATAAATAGACTAAGCTTAACAATTTGGGAAGAGGCTCATGGTGCTGGTTTCTTTCCAATCTTGACCAATTCAAGTTAGTTTTTCAAATTCACTTTAGGAAAGAAACGCGAATGTCCATCGTTTCTTTTCAAATCTACAGTTCTTTAATTTTCTGTTACAGCTGCCGTTTTCAACATCACAACAGTTTTAGTCGAATGGCTGTGGAATGAGACGCTGCTAGATAAGAGTAGCACCGATTTTGTTGCCCTTGAAGACACACTGCGACAACTGGTAAGTCATCTTGATTGAGTGTCTGATTGACTTGGTCCACAGTTGACAGCAAAGAGTCTTAATAGATGATGTTATATAACTACAAACACTATTTTCTTTTTCCTCGTGCTAATTGGGGCAATTCCCATTTAAACCCACTGTAGTCTCGAAATTTGCACCATTAAGCAGAAATGAATGAATCCTGGTAGCTGTAATCCATTGTCGACCAACAAGCTTAACGACGAATGGACGACGGATTTACGGCGAGAGGCGGACAGATGGAAGAATAGGCGAACGAACAGATGAAAGAACTGACTGACTGGTGCAGACTTGACTCCTACCCTAGAGTATTTCCTTATATGTTACTTCTGTTTTAAATTCTAGATCAAGCAGCTGTATTTGAATAATCCTGTGGATGTGAAGCTACTGTCTTGCAGGCGAGTTTCAAGAAAAATACTTCAAATTTTCATCCTTAACTTAATTACCAAGAACTTTAATCATTTTATTTATTTAATCTTGAATAGTTTTACGTTACCCTCGGAACTCAAAACAAATTCTCCTCAGCTTAATATCATAGGTCACTGAAAATGTTAGCATTACGTATTACGGGTGTATCAAAGCGAGCTGCCTCATTATAATTATAGATTTGTGTATTCTCTTTACTAACACTGAACAGCAGCCGGTAGACTCTCTTTGTGTTGTGTTTTCAATGAAACCTTGTACCATCAAACAAAATGTTAATAACTGACAGAAATGTCTAATGTCATTTAATTTTGATTTTGTTAATTTTTTTCTAGTTATTTATTGGTAATATCTAATTTTATGCTGCAGGAGAGGAAGCGTAATAATTACCTTTAGTGTTAGCTTTGATGCAGTAGACTCAGAACAGGTGGTAAAATTAACGGACAGCATGGAGAATGAAGGGCTGCTATCTGCACTTGGATCTGTTACGTTGCTGAATATTACAGCTGAAAAAGGTAATGTTCCATGATTGTAAAAGCACTGCAATCTGGTTGCTGCATGGTATTTTCATTTCCGTTCCAACTTACACATTTTTTGATATCAAGATTAGTGGAATCGTCCGTCGACATCGGATTCAGATTGACAATCAACGGCAGGAGGTCTAACGTCATCAAATACTGGAAAATATTTTAATCTAATAGGACTGGAAAAGAGTGCAATGAACGCATTTATGTTGTATAGTATAATAAAACTTTGATATTTGCCGAATTTTGTTCGTTTGGCCATTTATGATTTCTCCCAAAGAAAGTGGATAAAAGGTACAAATACTATTTTGCATTCCAATTCGTCCATTAGTCTTAAGTTATACTGTTGGAGCATTCGAGAAGAGATTTCTTAAGCAAACAGAGGATTAATGGAACTTTTATCGGGCATTTCACGGTGACGAAGTTGACAAAATGTGGACATGTACATCTATTTTACATATATTTGATGCGTTTTCACGCCACATCGATATTTCACGGGAGGTAGAGTCCTTATGATGATACTGAGAGTAAATGTTCCCTGAACAAAGAAATGGGGTAATTAAAAATCTTCTGCCCGGTTTGATCATCATGTAGGTTAAGACTGGTTTTCAGATGCAAACTTTTTATGTAGTAAAGATCTATTGCATCTTACCGATGCGAAGCAATTAAGCAAGTTTTGTTTTAGTTGTAAAATACATTAAATGATCAAGAGAAACACTTCTTATATTGGCATTTTTTGGCTTATATTTGCATGGTTGCTTTCCTTCACACAAGACGTGTAGACGACTAATGGCTTAGTTCACGTTCTGGTAGCATACAAGGGGAACGGAATTGGTTCGATATAAGCGCACAATGTACACAGAGACATTAAAAAAATATACTTGCTCCAGAATTGAGACAGTTAGAGAAACAAAACGTAACCACGATGGCCGTTGCTGCCATGCATCATCGGTACAGAAGGAGTTATTTACAACAATGTAACATACTTCTCGATTGTTTTGCATTTTTTACAGTACCCAACCAAACGCCCGCCATTGTTGAAACATACCTTACAAGTGCAACTAGTTTGCGAGTGTCCTGGACAGCTGTAAAGGAGCCAATTGCAGGTTACCAAGTAGCATTTCGTTCTACCAGCGCCGGAGAATGGACAAGTGTATACGCCACTTCTCAAACCTTTTCGATGCATTTGGAAAACTTAAAGAAGGGTGATGTTTACCGGTTAAGAATAGCGGCGTTCAATGCTGCTGGGAATGGAGTCCCAAGTGGTGGAGCTGAAATTCACATGAAAGAAGGAGGTAATGTAGTAAATGGCCTGTTTTTGCAATGTATCTAATAGAGAAATTACATCGCTTTTTAGCCAGTTAAAATTGTTATATTTGTTTGGAAATGATCAATAGGATTTGTTACGAAAGTAAGAAGCACCATTTTACTTACATTGTAAGTTGAAAAGGACCCGTCACCGTTATTTTGATTAACTATTTGTTTGTTAGAGATATCATTCTTCAGTCTATCTAAAAAAGAGTTAACGAAGTGAGCCTCCGAGAACGATCATTCATTTTCCGATCATCATGAAGGCTAACAGTGCCCACACTGCGCCGCTGCGGCGTGGAGTGATTTTTTTTATAGACTGAGGTATTCAGTCCATCAGCGTTGAACACCGTTAAAAAAACAAAGCGAAACAGGCAAACTAAATTATGTCAGAAAAAAAGTACCAGAAATTTCAAAACCAAGACAATCAATTTTCTCTTTATCTGCGACGTGAAGTAAATCTTACTGAGGTGTTCAGTTCCGCAGTAGCGTTGAACACCGTTAAAGACAAAAGCTAAAAAGGAAAACTGAATTATGCGAATAATTCCAAAAATTTCAACCTATTTTCTCATCAAAATTTCACTTCATATCAGTTCCTACAGTGGCTCCCGTAGTATCATTGTCCGATACCAAAACTACTACCTCTCTGATCATTTCTTGGACTGCCATACCTGACGAATACGTCACAGGTAAACTACTGGGTTACCACATCACTTACAAACCAGTAAAGATAGCTGAGCAACGTATTGACGGAACAGAATCCCTCACAGTAACTGCGCATGCGCCAGCAAATGGGAAGCATGAGTTTACTTTGGATTCACTTAGCTCGTTTACTCAGTACAGCATTACCGTAGCAGGATACACAGCTGAAGGAGATGGACAGACCAGCGAGGTTGTTCTTGGAGGTAAAAAAATAAATTAAGAAGAAGACTTTTCATTTTTGGAACGAACTTGATCAGCTCTATTTTTGGCTTCATAGTCTGCTGGGTAGGAATCCCCAAGGTGCGAATGGAATGGGTACGACTGGGTACGAATCCCGTAGCCTGAATTTTGCTAAGCTTTCACGGCGAGTTTTTAAGTTGCTGCAACAAGTGAAAACGAAAATAATCCACAGCTTTTAATTACCACAAAGATACCTTTGTGTTGGTTTCAATTTAAAGTAAAATATACTTATTTTCGCGAATAACCAAATGAGGACAAGAACTTATTATAATCCCGTGAATTATTTCATGAGACCAACATCATTCAGTTGCGTCTTGGTTAACTCGAAATTTCTCACAAATCAGTTTAAATTGTCTTTTAATTTTAGCATCAATAGCATCGATAGTTACTCTTTTTTCTTTTCCAGAAACTTGCAATTGTCCCAAAACACTGTACACAAATTGGGCTTTGTATCCTCCTTACGTAACAGAAATCAACCAGCAACCTGCCGGAATCATTGGCGAGCTCATTCAAGAGCTGATTTTGTATTCGTGCGGCAAGTGCCAAGGAGGGCATGGCGAAACTTTTATCGATATCAAGACCAATGGAAAAGGAGCTGCTGCTAGAAAAACGTCAATGAGCGAGGTACAAGCCGATGTAGACGATAGAACGCACGTCACCTTCCCTGTTTTAGGGAATATGGATGACGAAAAGTACTTGAAGGAATTTGTGTTCGTTCCTGTGGTTCAGTCACCGGGAATCGCATTTATTTCATTGGCCAGCCAGTTGTCAAGAACGGAAGTTGTCGCCTTGACGTGGAATAGGAGCTGGCCTATTGTTTTCCTGATTGTGGTGATGGGCTTCATTGTCGCAGTGCTGATCTGGATCGCGGTAAGTATCCACTTAAAATAAGTTACAAAGGAAAAGAATAGGTCTTAAAGGAGGTCAGTCACGGTATTTTAAGTAAGTTTGGCCACTTATGAAATAACTTTTAAAATATTAGTTTTCTAACATAAAAAAATCACCAAAGAGATAATGATAAAACATAAAGGGACAAGGGTGGTTAAGGATGGAGGTGACTAAAACGGATTGCAAACGACGAACTTAAAAATTTTCAAGATATGCAAGATATTCAAGATATGCAAACCGTCACCTAGCTCCCCTACGGAGTTCCTTGACGGAACGCACGCTGTATCCAAAATACTTTCAATGGACATTTAAAGGGCGCGGTTAGATAGAATTCCCTTTTACGTACACCTTGTTCATGCGTGCATGCAATAACCCCGTTGTTACGGCTGGCTTCCTTTAGCTCGTAGCAACGATCGTTCGCATGAGTCCCTTAATAAGACCTTTGGGAGTAAAACTGGAACAGCGACTTGATCATGCTCACCTCGTAAGCAATTAACCACCGAGTGCAGATAGTGTCCAGTAAATTACAAGGAAATGCACTTCATTTTTGCTACAAATGTGCGAATTCTGTTAAAGTTTTATTTTTTCATTTTATTTTTTGTTAACTGTATTCACTTTACACCAGAACGTGTAACAGTTGCCGTAGTACAAAATTGCAAGTGCACACTTTTACTAGTGTACGAACTTACATTTCGCACCAAAGGGCGAGATGTAGGCGCACAAGAACACTTTACTCTAAGAGCCAGCGCTCTTTTTTCCCCTTTTTTTGGAGTGTTTTTTTTAAAATTGGTAACAACCGATAGTGTTGGGCTTGTGGTTTTCAAATTAACGGATTAATCATCCCTTGCACGATGAGCTAAAGATTTCGTACTTTGCATACAACTAATCTCAGTTTCTTTTTCCAATAACAGGAGAGAAGAAACAAAACTGAATATTTCTCGCACTCATTTTTAAGAGGGACTGGCGACCTTACATGGTTTTCCTTCACGACGATGACCACTGTTGGGTGAGCCGTGATCTTTGATAGCCAGCGGTTTTACTAGACCTAATGAAGTATAATGTCTGCGTGTGTATTATATTTTTTTCATTTACGAGAGTATCATTGAATGTTTTTTTTAATCAATACTGTCCGACCCCGTCCACACTAAGTCGGAGGAATTTGAAAACGGATTTTCTTTTCTTTATTATCATTATTGTGTATTAGAATGGGATCAAAAGATTACGGTTGTATTTTTTTTCTGTCTTCTTCAGTCAACCCTCTTATTTATCTCTGCAGTATGAAAGATATTCGTAACGAAGTAAAACATTTGTTTTAGCAACTAATCTGTAAGGCAATGCAGAGAAAACATGCATATAGCCAAGTTTTGCAAAAAATGTTTCTAACTGAAGTCGTGACGTTAACCAACATGGAAACACCACTGATACTTGTGATGAAATCTTAAGTTTTAATCTCTAGCTTGGCTTATGCCTTGTTAAAGCCGATGTATGGACATAACTTGATCCTTCCACTTCTAAAGTCAAATTTGCTGTTCTTACGTTTGAGTATGAATGAGCCCCCTTCTGCGTAGCTATCTCTCCTGGTGGCTGTAAAGTTGAA